CAATTCTATAATGTGAAGGGGATGTGGACAAGAAATAAATATGACCATTTTACCAGGGATTTGTAGATGTGTAAGTTGTTCATTTTGTGTTGGGTAAGAGATCATTATATTATAGATGTGGTTTACGTGTGGTTAGGATATTGATATGGTCTTAATCATTAACTGCTGGTGTCTCTGGAGGATGGGGGAAGGTGACGTTCAGGAAGATTTATAGATGGTGGAGGAAGTGGGAGTTAAATCAGGGAACCAAAGGCCAATGAGAGACAGAGAGGGGAGAGTGGTAGTGAGGAGACTGAAATGAGGTTTAATGATTGAGGGCAAAGTAAAACAATGGGATCACACAAACCATGACAACATCAATACGTCAACATTGCAACTAATAAGTACTCAGTACTCATTACATTAATATAATATTACATGAGTACTTTATTACACACCAGTGAATGAGATCAAGATCAAACACACAGACTCGTAAGATCAAAACAATACCAGATGAACTGTCATGGCTGGAAACTGTTAGTAGGATGAGAGGTGAATTTGAAGGATCTTGCTCGGTAGGAAATAAAGCGGCTTATTTCCCAGCTTGGTGTAATAAGTTATTAAAAAGAAAAACTGTTGAATTTTACTGGTTGTAAATTGAATCCCTGCCAGCTTTGTTAATTAGTATTAAGCACTATCTCACTTCGCTGTGTGAAGTCATGTGATGTACAGCTCTGCAGACCATGAACCACAAGTTTTGAAAAAGGCAACTATGGTAGTTATAAGCTATATTAACTTTAGATATGAATCAAAAACTGTGTATTTAAATCTAAACTGTACTAATGCACTTTTTAACATCACTCAATGCCTCATTTGCATTTTGATCACAATATGTAACTTCGGCTGTGAGGGGTCTCTCAATCAAAACAATACCAAAAGACCTAGTTTGATGACATCATGGGAGTTGTTGTCTACACTACTATTGGCGATGAAATCGACCAGACGTGACTCCTGTGCAAAACTAGTCACAGTTCACATTAAAGTTTCATGTTACGCAGCAAATGGCAACGAATACTTGTGACCAATAAAAATATAGGAAAGAAAAAACTGTCAACTGTGTGTTTTTCATTTGCTATACAACATTTGCCCTGGAAGTTATCACAGAGATTTGCCACGAGTAAAGCGGATATGGCGTAGTTAAACGGTGACCAAAATGTCCCATTGCCTTGAACAAACTTGGGTATTTCTCTGGGTTTGATAATTCTGACATTTTAATGAAGAGTTGTTACATATTATTACATCTAAGTATCCTGAAATGGTTACCACTGTACATTTGTGACTCCTTGTATTTAATGTGGTTCCCACACATCGCTATATTTATTTCTCTTCTGCTGCAAGGTCTGACCAAGTACCATCCTCTCCTCCCTTTCTCCCAACATCAAAGACTATCAGTGCCCTGAGCACCTCTTCATCCTCCAGACCCTCGAAGAATGGCTGTGCCCTGAGCACCCTCACAGTTCCCTGCTCCCTGTGCAGGAGGACCTACCAATGTGCTGCATCTCTCTGCAGGTCTCTTGACAAAATGGTAGTAACTGTGTGAACACTCACCAACTGTCTTTTCTTCTATCTTACAAGAAACAGGTCATATCCTGGGCGCTTTCCTACCACCCCTCCTCAAAAAACTGAGCTGTAGTCTGACATCCCATCTGGCCCCTGAATGAATCTTGCCCTTCACCCATTGCCTGCCTCAGGGAAATGCTAGCTTCTTCACCCCATAGTCACCTACAAGGTAACAAATACCTGAATCCTTGGTGGAGGTATTAAGTACAAGAAGGCAAAAAAAGGGGAAAATCGAAGAGTAAAAACTGAAGAATCAGGGCATGTTACAGAATTAGATTTGCTTCTTTCAGCATTCATTTAATCATTATCCTAATAATGTATCAAGATATGTAATTCTGGTTTATTTTTTGAACTCGTACATCCTTTCGAGTCATTTCACGTCAGGGTCGGGAGATTGGACGGATATATATATGATTGGCTGATTCCAATGTCAGTGTTTTTTTCACACAGCGGTGGCCACAGCTCTTCCATAATGGCATTTATGAATACTGGTGTGCAACCCTGCAAATGCGTGTGCAGATAAATCGTTGATTGACGGTTGTTGGGCTGACGGTGGCCGACTGGAAAAGGTTTGTATATTGCCCAATCTTATCTCACCTTTTTAAAAATAATTCCAAAGAAAGAAAGATTTTTATTTCTTTTTAGGTTTAGTGTTAACAACAGATGTATGTGTATCATGTGTGAGAGAATTATAACAGCCCCTAGTCTTTCATATATTCAGCTATTCTTGGAAATGCAGAAATCAACAGGCTCTCAATTGTCTGACTGTTGGATCAGTATTTTTCTACATTTTATAGTTTTTTATACTGATGTAACACTGCGTCAGTATCTTAGAGCCAAGTGCATCAAAAAGCATGCGGTCAAGTGCACAACCACTTCACCGGTTGCATTTTTACACACACAGCCATTATGCATTCATGCCGTGTAATGGAGAATAGCCATTCATGAATGGTTAGTATCATGTGAAAGAGCTGGTATAGGCTACAGTGTGCAGGGTGAATAGGTCAACCCTGTTAAGGCCTCTAACCATCAAACGCAGGCCCCTGGGGACACATACACATTACACGCACCACACATGATGACAGCGAGCAATACAGAATACTTTCAAAGATAATTATCACGATCATATTTCGGAGGTAACATATGTTGTGTGGAGCAACTGCACAACACACAGGGGGACCCACACTGCATAAACATGGAAACACCTGGGATCACTAATGCAAATAGATGCATTGGATACCATCACTCAGTTTCCATTTAGTGACTGTTCCAGCGAGAGAGGAAATTATTCATTACAACAATTAATAATTAGAAGCAGGGATGAGAGAGGAGGGGCGTCCTGCTTGTTGGCACTATAGCGCAAGATTTTAACCAAAACGCAGGGACTTGATGAATGGATTTAATTAGTGACAATGCTGAACAAAAATATATAAGGAAGCACCTTAATTATCCATACGACACAAGCTACACAATATATGATATATTAAATACTACAATTTTGAAAATAATTAATAGAACATGCACACTTGTAATTGTGGTAATAGTCCTGTGGGTATGGCATTTAGAACTGCTCCTTTTTGACTGGACAACAATGATCGAAAACTATGATTTTACACCATCACTGAGAATAATCTGAGTGTGTAAAACTAAAGTAAAATGGCACTCAATAGAGGGCACACCTCTAAGCTCTATCTCACAAGGTTAAAGAAAGTGATAAAAAAAAAAAATTCTGGAAAAAATTCTTTCTCCTTAACGATTTCACTCAAAATTGAATAGGTACTTTCTTGGCCCATCCGACTAAGTTTCATGGAAATTCATAAATGTTTGGTAGTTTTTGTGTAATCCTGCTGTCAAACAACCAACCTATAAACAAACCAATGGACAGGTGGAGACATAAACTTCTTGGTGGTGTAAATATGCAAATATTCAACATTTCAAATAAGGTGTATTATTATTTATCAGCCATTGACAACCCTGGGGCAAAAACCTTGGTGTATTATTTATTGCTTTTCTTTTTTTTTTGTTTTAAGATAATGAAGTGTAAAATGTACTTTCCCACAATGTCAGTCACACTGTTGGAGACAAAAGAAAGAAATCGAAATGAAATGCAAGGTTGAACAAATGAGATTACCAGTGATAGAAAGTGTTTCAATAATAAGACTTTTCCTATTTGTATTTGAGAATTGTAATTACTTTAATTTTGGCTTTATTGCAAGTCTGCAGGCTGTGATTCTGGGTTAGTGTTTAGTGCATGGGGAATATGTAATAGTCAGAATGCTCACGAGAAAGGGAATTATAATTTTTCCTCTTATGATGATTTTATTGCTAATTTAAATTCAGTTTAATTTCAGTATTTCTTAAATACTATAGGCATTGTTTCACTCAGATGCTGTGAATATGGTGATCATCAACAGACACTGCATCTGTATGTGATTCAGTGTTAATAAGAGCTTTTATTTCACAGTACAACTCTGAACTGATCTCATTTACTCTGCTGTTGTCTAGCTGCAGGAACTATCACCAGCTGACCTGGAAGTGGAGCTATTGGATGAGAAGACCAGGAAACACAATCTTCTATGAGTCTCAGCCTATAAGGTTACAGGTGACTTCTGATATCATGATTATATATATATATACACCGATGGAGTCATGAGATTGGGTCACTTGTCCATGCTCACTGTTCTGCTGCTTCACTTTACACAGTTTCACTGAGAGAATAAATAAAGACATTTAAATAATTAGTGCATAAGTAAATATAGCAATGTGATTAGGATTCTGAGACAGATATGCATTTTTTCTTTTTAATGAAAAAATACTACATTTAAATGTGACTACAGTAAATGAACCTGCTGTTTTTTTAGGATAAAAACATGAAAATGTGGTATTTGTGCTGAAGGAAGGGAATAGTTACTACGTTTTCCAATTACTAAAAGAGGATACAAACACATATGAAACAGGCATACAATTGTTGTTTAAGGTTTATTTTTTCGTTCTCACACCCAGTCCATATTCACCCAAAGTGGCCGAAAGCTCTCCTGTGTTGCATGGATAGGAGAGGCTAAACTGTCCAGAGAGATTTCTATGCATACTAAAGAGATCTAACACATGCAGGCTGAGGAGGATTTTCATTAGTCCCCTCAAACGGGACTCCCTCCCTCCCCTGCCTGCTGTTGTGTGATGCTGTGCTTACGCATTTCTCCAGGTGATTTACAGGGTTTCTGAGTGTCTGTGCTCTTACCAGTGGTTTTTAAATCAAATAAAACCAGTCTGACAAGTAAATATTGATTCATTTCCAAACCAACACAAATTCTTTCACCAGGTTCTTCATACAATACACAACAGTATGCATATTCACATACACACCAATGCACATGCACACTGAGACAAGAACGGGGACTCACCTTCTGTGGGTGAGGTTTGCAGTCGTGTGCACATTCCCTCCACATCCCCGTAGTCCTCCTGGAGCTTGACCACCGCCTCCGTGCCACGCAGCTCCATCAACGAGCGCAGCTCCATGAGCGAGCAGCCGAAGCCAGCCACCCGGTTGCTGTCATTTCTTTGGTTCTTGGCGTAAAAATCGCTGTTCGACATGTCTCCCATGATGTCGGTTAGTCAAGTCAGTTAGATTAGTGTTTGTTATTGCTTATAGATCAATCAAAAAGCTTGCACAACAGAGAGATGAAAAAAAAAAAATCCAAAATAGGTATCAAGCAGGTGACAACAACCAAAAAGGGAACACAGGTTAAAATGGGGAAAAAATCCAAGTGGATCAAGTGATGAGCAGCTTCTCTGTTTCAGGAGAGGCTGTCAGATATCAGCAGACCAAAAACCATCAAAGAGAAGAAACAAGAAGAGGAGAAAGAGCAGCAGAGAACGAGGAGAGAGGAGGGGGCGATGAAACACAAGTGGGGAGCATCCAGGTGAGCGTTGGACAGCCCCAGTGGTCAGGTCCTGAGTAGGGCAATGATGGTGGTTGCAAGTCCTGTAGGTCTCAGGCTCACCACGGCTGCAGTCCAGACCCGCTCCATGTGTGGCTTCCCATTGCTGCTATTCTGTTGTTGCCTCCGCTGCCTCTCCGTCTCTACATGGTGGTCTTCCCCATCACTGCTACAGAGAGTGAAAGAGAGAGAGAGTGAGAGAGAGAGAAAGCGAGAGGGAGAGAGAGTCGAATCAAAAGAGGACAGAAGGTGAGGGAGGAGAAGGAGGAGAAGGAGGAGGAGGGAGAGACACAGAGGGAGAGAGAGAGAGCACAAGGATGAGCGTTGCGTTCTCAGGGCAGTGGTGAATGCAGCGGTGGGTGGTGCACAGCTGAAGAACAGTCTCTCCTGGCTGCTGCAGTGACTGTGTCTCTACTGTCTCTATCTACTGCTGCTGCTGCTGCTGTTACTGCTGCTTCTAACCTCATTCTGAGGACAGTGACGGAGAGAGAGGGAGAGAAAGAGGATATGAAAGAGAGGGAGGGCAGAGAGAAGAGGATGCTCCTTTCTGGTGCAGAGCAGAGAGGAGTTGTGCGCCGGTGGGTGGCTGGGGCTGCTCTGACGACAGAGCAGGGAGGCAGCACGTAATGATGAACTGTCACAGGGAGGCTGGGCTGAGCCGTGGAGCTGCTACCTCACCACTAGTTCACTCTCAATCTACATCAAGCGACCTCCACCATGCTAAACATCCATGAAGATACCTTCCTGTCTATACATCCTTTTATCTTAGAACTACACTCTGCTTATAAAGGAGGCTTGTTTGGTGTCTAAGTGGTTAAGTGCAATTTACTCATCTATGGTGATTCACAGTTTGTACCTGGTTTATACTGTTGTGTTTTTAATAGTTCTTCGACATCAGTAAAGGTCAATGGCACAGAAGAAAATGCAACACAAGAAATAATCGTTAATCATAGTCTTTCTATATTTGTTGACAGGGAAAACACAATATTGTATCGTTAACTTAAAAGTACTCTACTCTCCTCCACTCAAAAAGAATCAGAACACACTGCACAAAACTCTATGGATCTGTCACCAGATTATTATTTTAATCAATGACATTATTCATCATTTCATTATTAATATCATTATCACCATCCAAAGCACCACCCACCCACACAGGGGGAGACCTGTAGTCACTGATGCTACGGTAAATCAACATTACAGCATTAAAACTCTTTGGCTGTTCTCCATCATCTGTAATGTATTCTATTAAAACCGCAAGTAATTTAGCGATGAGGTCCACAAGAGGTCAATAATGCAACAATGAAATAGAAAAAATTTGATCAAATGTTGAACAGAGTACAGCTCAACTGAAGAATTTGACGAAGAATCTTTGGCAACAAATAAATTAAGTGTCAAGTTGTATTAACACAACTGATGAGTTGAATGTAAAATCACCAATTGAAGTTGAAATTTAGAGTTGGTCCAACAACTTTATTTTTTCATTGAATATAGTCAGTTGAAATCAGACAAAGGAGCAAAGTTAGCCAGAATGACTTCACTGATTTCATGGCTGGTCAGTAAATAAACAAACTTTGAATCATACAATGAGTAATTTGGTCATTTTCTTTTGCAGGTCAGTAGGATTTTAGTGCACCATCTGCGTCTTTGCTTTACATGCACACATTATCTATCAAGGATAATCAAATCTTATCAATATATAATCTTGATATGTTAAGTATATGATCGTAGAGCAGTTAGCAAACGGAAAGATGAGTTAACAACTCTGCTAAATTGTCCATGCAACAGCAGATAAAACTCGGCAACCCAGAGGTACAGGGCACATTCATAATCTCTGTACTGCGACATGCACTGCTGAAGCTGGCCAGGCTGAGAAAATCAGCAAGGCATCCAGTCACAAATACCATGCCCGATGATACAGATGGGAATAGTAGACACAATTGTGTGATCAGGAATAGTAGGGCAGCGACCTTGTCTCATCAGGGTGGCAAGAGACCCTGCCAACAATTCACATCTGTAACCCCACAGGAAGCAGTCCTGTGTGTTAATGAGCGCCAGCCCTTACAGAAGTGACAAAGTAAGACAGCATTGGCAATGTCGGCAACGACAGGTGTAAGCCACTAAACATGTAAGACATTTCTGTCGATTAAAGAGAGAATTTCTTTCCTTTATATCAATATAGCAATAAAACAATACTTATATTCCCATATTGTATGATTTTTGATAGTTTCCATTTCTTAAAGAAAACAATAACAGCATGAGGCAGGACTACATCTTCCTCTGTATTTTCTCCAACCTTTTATGCTGCCCCCCTGGCCTGCCAATCAGGTCCAATCAATGTTGGCGGTACTCTCTGCACGCCAAGGCAGACATCTGTGCCGGCCAGATCTTCCAAAACCCGTCAAATGAAAGCAAACAAACGCTCTCCCAGGAAATGTGTGTTTGTGTGTTTATCTGTGTGCCTGAATGGTTAATGAAGTGGCTGGCTGAGGAGAGAAGCTACATCACACAGGTAATTCTCTTTCGCACCAGATGGACCATCTGCAAGAGAGTGAGAGACCACTCATCCCTGTGTACCTGCACTGGGCTTCCACACCAAGAGCAAGGCTGGTTTTCTGTCCTACTAACTTGTGTTTTGCTGGTTATCAGTCACATAAGAGGAACAAATGAAACCAATGGGAATCGTGTCTTCTACCCTCCAGGAAAAAAACATTTCATACTCAACCTTAATTTAAGCTGAACCTATTCTTCCTTGATTTGCAAAACGGTTCTTGTTTGAAATCAAGAACTGTTACATGACTAATGTAACACACAAAGCCAGTATAGCGCTTCATCACCAACCATGTAAGGTTGAGTATTTCCAGCTACATCATCATGTTGGTGATGTAAGTGACTGGTGGTGGTGGTGGTAGATTCTGCTGGCATGCATTTGCCTGACTTTAAATTACGATAGCATGCACACACAAGAAGTGGAGCGTTGTATAAGTTGGAGGGAGATAAATGAAGGGAAAAGACAGATGAAGAAAATGAGGGAGATTGTGGAGAGCAAAATATAGATTAGATTAGATAGAACTTTATTGATCCCTTTGGGAAGACTCCCTCAGGGAAATTATAAGTAAGTACAGTGAAAAAAGAGGGGAAGATAAAAGTGAGGTGCAGTGCTGATACCAGAATAACTTCAGAGCAGGTGATGACAGTTAAACTACCATGCATGTGCTTTATGTGTGCACAATCGATTTCTCCTTTCCTGGCAAAAGGAGGGCAGCTGTATGTGAGCAGAGCTGTTGTTGATGTGTATGCATTCACAGATGACACCTTAATGAAGGTAGTGTGTAAAAGTGGTTTCTCTTCACTGTAAAATATTTTCAACATCAAAGAGGCAAATTTCACATTAAATGTTGGGGGTATGGAGCTTTTGCTAATTTTGTCAGCCCTTGCAAAAACTCTCTGCCTCCAATATTTCCACCAACACTCCTGGTCCGTTCCACCTACCTGTCTTTGCCCTAAATCTCTACATTGTCCTACCGGTCTACCTGTACCTGAATGAACACTTCCCTGCTGTGTTATTCTTCTGTCTTCCTTCCTGCCTACTCACCAGTCTTTCAGCTTAATTGCTGGTGAGCTCTCGAAGGCTTGACAGTGAATAATGAGTAATATTTGATCAAGCACTCAAAGAGAAAGAGCTGCTTTTGAAATAATCAACAGCTTTTTCTTCATAATTTAAGGGCAAGAACACTTAATTTCACTCTATGAACTTCAACACCATATGGGATTCATATTAAGACACAGAACTAAAACACCATTGAAACAGTTAATGTCTTCTCTGTCAATAATTTGGGGATATGTCATGTAGTAGTCGTCAGTTTTTGGACCTTATTGTTTTCATTTAAACATACTATGTATGCCTTGTAACTTTGGCAACCACGTGGGATCATGAGAGTCGTTGTCTTCACCACCACAGCTGATAAAAATTGACCAAACTCGACTCAGACGCAAGACATGTTCATGAATGAGATAAGGTACTTAAATTGTATTCATGTAATTTTAGTGAACAATTGTTATGTATTGTATGCCTGAGTCAATAATTCAATAATATTTAAAGTTTATACACTCAGATATTTTAAGAAAAGATGCCTCCCTATCTTATCAATATTTTCTATTCATATGTGAGGCATAAGGCTTGAAGATTTAATATCTCTTCAAACGCTGTAGGTTATAGAGCTCTTCCATTTGATGATATCATGATCTAAGTCTCATTTTTATTCATCCTTAGACAGACTTGTTCAAATTCACACATTAAAACTATCATGTGCAATAAAATATCATTAAATATATTAAAATTTAGTGCCAGTTTTAGCTTTAATAATGCATGTCTCTCTGTATGGTGCCCAGTGTTTTCTCTGCTCACTCTGTGATTATACAAAAAAAAAGTGTCAACGATCAAACAATACTTGTGCTTTGATGAGAAGTTCCTGGTCTGACGAGCGGTAGGCAGTTTTTTGTCCTCCACAGTGAAGCCATTGGCATTCCCTGCGTGTCTGTCTCAAAATGTCCTTGAGCACAGTGAGGCAGAGCTGAGGTATAAGCTGTGCCCACTGCACCATCAGCAACAGCACACAAGCTGGCATACAACCCCCCCTGCCTGTGACAAAAAGTAATGCAGGAGATTTCAATGACAAGGGATGCTGTGCTGCACACCTGCATGTTCAAAAATATCACATCATAATTTCAGATGTCAGGTTTAGAAATGCTCATGGGCCATTGGGTCATGACATGAGGAGTTTTAGTAAAACATGTTTGAAAGTAATGATCAGATTACACTTTACAATGTGACAACTGTGATTCAACACCTCTCGAAAAACATCAGCCTCAGAAACAATGACTGTGTAAAGTCGATGCTAAGATAAGAACACATCATCACCTCACTGCCAGTTTCAAAAAAATTGTGTCCACTTCCTGTAACGTACAACAAAGTCAGGAAAGTGAGTTAGCTGATTGGTTGTAGCTTTATCTCTTTCAAAAGGATTTGTGCATGATTTTGTGACAGCATGAAAAAGCAAGTACTTCAAATAAAAAACCCAATGAACTTTTAAAGATCTAGTTTTATTGTGTAAGTTTAGGCTGTGTATGACACTGTCTGCAGTGTCATATTTGTGGAATTGTCCTAAA